AAAACTACTCGCGTCAAACTATCAGCCTAGTTAAAAAAAAAAAAAAAAAAAACCGAGAAAGACAAGGCGTGAGATTGAGGGACAAGAACGTGAAGAAGTTCTATAAACGATAAATTTATTACTACTACTACTACTATTATTATCACTACTGCAACTACTACTACTATTACTTATCACTACTACTTACTATTACTATAAACTACTATTGCTACTATTATTATTAATACCGCTCTGCTACTACTACCGAACAAAAACAAAAAAAAGAAAAAAAACACGCTATGGTGAAGTATGTAGATAAAACGAAGAAAAACTAAACTCCGCTAGAATGGGAGAGGCAGCCAATAGCCATTAGAATACACGAAGATAGTTATTAGGTGGCGAACTACGACATCATCGTTGTCGCTGCGACGGAATTATCGATAATTATTCGCATCAAAATTCTAAGTCTTCGTAGAATTGAAATCAAGTCCAAACGGTTGTATATAGTTGGCTAAAATGAAGAGGAAAAAAACAATTACCGCCTTCACACAGACAGGCGAACAATATTACAAAATGTCAAATGCGTTGTTTGTTCCGTTCGATTTCCATCGGCAGACTTTCGTCGCCCCAAAATAAATGCGAAGGGTGGAGCTTTCACGACGAGCTTTGAAAACTAGATATTTTGTGTTTAATTTAATTACAAACAAAAAATTATTCCAGACTTTTATTCTAGACTTAATTTTGTATCGAAGTACTGATTATATATATATATATATATACATTATTGATTAAATTATCTCTCTTGATCTGTTTATCTTATTTGATCTGTAAATTAACTAAAATAAACTTATACATGTTTAAGATAAAAAAAATTTACTATTTAAAAATTATAAATTAAAAGTTTTAGAAATTGTTTTAGAATTTATAGCTTCTCTTATTTTGACTAATTTTTCTAAAATTCTATTTATTTTTGTTTTAAATATATATGAACTTTTTTTGAAGTCGTCGTGTTATAGCGAATCCTCGTAAATCCATTGGACTTCCATTACGTTACGCTGTATCTATTTCTACTTTTAATTACGCAAACAAAGAAAGATGAGAGAAAACTATAAACGAGGTGTCGCGGAAACGTAACTTTGAACACGTTTTGTTTGTGCACCGAAAGGCGTGAATAGGCTTTGACGTCTTACGAGGGGCGCAGGATAAAAAGCGCGCGCGAGCAGTAGTCGGCCCCCCACCCCTATGTTCCTTCTGTAAGATTTAAGTCATCTGCATTCCCGGAGAGGGAAAGGAACGTTTCTCCCCTATGGTCCTTTCCAAGATCTGTACGGCACGATTTAGTGTCGCTAGCGTCCCCTCCGCCGAGTTATATCCGGGAAAGAAATAAAAAAAAAGGGGAGGACGAAGAGCGTGAATGAGCGTATAAACGAAGAAGAAAACCAAGAGAGAAAAAGAGAGAATGGAAGTGTGGATGAGAATGAATGAGAAAGAAAGAAAAAAGTATTATTCGGTGGTGAATTATGCGAGTCGAAGATGCATTCCGAAATAACTAGATACCAATAAAAAAAAAAAAAAAAAAAGAGAGAACTAGTCTCGCTATACAAAACTAGAAGTATATTC